ATAGAGAGAGAGAGAGAGAGAGAGAGAGAGAAAGACTACAATTTTAGGAAGAAACTACTCCCTATTTATAGTCATCGAATAACTTTTTTGTTCTGTATATTTCTTTATTATACTATCCAATTTTTATTATTATTACATTGTTAATAAAATTTGTTATTAGCATATTACTATGTTTAATATTTTTGTCTGCTACTTTCTTTTGTAATATAATAGAAGATATATATTTTATTACTCTTGAAATTATTATTTTTTTTATATTTTATTCTATTGTTCTCAATAATATTGTCTGGATTTTAATGTATAAATACGCTTTTTATTTAGGAAAAAACCAAAATGATTTAAACAACTAAAACAAGGAAGAACTACTCCCAAATTTGAATTGAAAGTTTTTTATTTTTTTTATTTAAAAACAATCTTAAAACTCCAACTTGAAACTACTCCTCAATTTGAATTGACAATTTTTTTTTAATTTCGTTTTTATTTTAAAATAATTTTAAAACTCCAACTTTGTTGGAGCTTTGTCCTAAAAATCAACACATGTCATCGCATGGTTATGCCATTTGGCATCATATAATTATTTTACTTCTCTTTATATATATGTGTGTGTGTGTGTGTGTGTGTAACTACTATATTAGGAAGAAACTACTCCTCATTTTGAATGGGTAGTTTTTTAATTTTTCTTATTTTCGAGATTTACAGATATTTAAATTCAAAAATAATAACCAATAACTAATTTTTAACTAAATAACTAATTATTAACAAACTATGCCATGTGGCATTTTTCTAGGTTGTTATTTGGCTTAATGTGGTGCCTTTTTCTTTGGCTTTTAATAGTATATAGATGATCAAATGCAGAGAGAAATACAATGTGATTTGCTCTTTTTTTGTCTTACCGCTGAAACAACTCCAACAGGCAGGGTCTGGTGATGTGGTAGCAGAGTTGCTTTCACTATCGGAACCAGGGGAAGAACCTGCAAATACATGGTTAGCAAAAGATTTAATATCTGCATGCGAAAATGATCATTTGTGAAGACCAAATCCATATTATTAGTTCCCTGACATACTCTCAGCTGCCAATTCATTTTTTTGTTTGGAAAGACACATTTCTTTAAGACTATGCGGTGTGTCTTTAACTAGATGACCAAGCGAGCGAACACAGAGAGCAATATTAAAGTGTCAATCAACACGCACACTAAACAAGTCTACCAGATGATGACAACTATGTTGATGGATGCAAGTTAGAACTTACTGAAATGATTGATTCAGTACTTACACTTAAAAACCGACTTTACCAACCCCCACACCCAGCTCTTTCTTCCTAGTTCCTATCTTTTGTTCTCCTCATTTTTCATTTGCCATCTCTGATTTTCTTCATCCCTAGGTTCTTTCTTTCAATCCGGACCTATATTGTATTCGCAGAATCCTCTAAATATCATAACTTGATTCCCATGGGAATTGAAGGATGCAGCTTAAGCACAAAAGATCTGTTGCCGCTTAACAAGTTTTAAGTGCTATCAAAATTCTATATGTAAAAGTAGAACGAAAAATTATAATCAGACAAATAATTTGCAGTCGGCAATCAGTAACATGCTAACCTCCAGGTCAAAATACACCACATTGTAAATGAAACATAATTACGTCATTACCACCAAAGGAGACTGTAACTTGGTGATGATAACCACCACATTGCCTAAAACCCACTCAGTTAAGCCCTTTGCCACTTTCTTCATAGCCAACAAGTAGAACTTGTATGCTTAATCCAGAAATATGTTAACCTCTAGATAAGCCTAAAAAGTAAAGCTACTCATATAAGCCCTTTGCCACTTTCTGTATAGTCAAAAAGTAGGACTTATATTCCTAACTCGGAATACATGTTAACTACACTTTCACCGAGTTCTGGTATAAGGTCTTCAAACAATCACGTGCAACCGTCAAATAATTTGAAGTTATCAATCGAACAAACTCCTAACATATTATTTAGTACGAAACTGAAATGGGTTCAAATGAAACGACATAGATATTGAGGATCCATATATCCGACTCCAACTAAATTGGACTCAACTGAAGCATAGTTGTTGTTGTAACTCACATGTGCAGTAGCATGTATCCATGCACTCTTCAATTAAGAGATTAGTACATTTTTGGGCAAAAGCTAGAGGTTCAGGCTACAACAACAATTAAAACAAATATTCCTGTTCCATTTTGCAATGGTTCAAGCTACGACAACAAATAAAACAAATATTCTAGTTCCATTTTGCAAATAAGGGAAGCTGTTCGTTTCAGCCACTCAAACAGTTAAACTTCTCATGACATGATCGCTCTTGAAATAAACAGATTATAATTGCACATTAGCAGTGTTTTACAAACATCCATTGAAGCTTCATCTCTTGTAGATATCCCTAGTCCCTACTTATAGCAGAAGCTTTTATGACTAATTCTGCTGAAACTTTTAAACATTTTTATGCGTTGTTTGCCAAAATGTGCACTTGCATCATGTTACTTGTAAAAGAATCCAAGCATCCAATGTGAAACCACATCTCCTCAACGTTTAATCACATTCTGGGATTTTACAAGTGGATTGAGGTACCTTGTTTTTGCTTTTTATTTATTGGTCCTTTCCCATTTTTGTTGTTCCTTTAAATATAAACCTCACACTTTTGAGTAGTCCAAACAGGCTAAAGACTATAGCTGAGTTAGGTGTGCCTAGAGCAGAGTTATTAGCTCAATAGGGTGAACTGAGATAAGCCTAGAGCAGCTTGATAAAAAGGAATTGAGTACCCAAGATTGTATAAACCACTATCTATGCCCTTATATATCCAATATGGTAGATATTGTAAAGGAACAGTGCAATGCAACATTTTAACAATTCAAATGCATCTGATGATAGAAGTGAGTTATTACCGGAAGCTCGTTCTTAGACCTGATGGGTCCTTTAACACCTGAATCCTCCTCCTCATCTTCGCTCCAAGCAACCATCTCATCTACATCCACATCAGATGTTTGTATCTCGCCTTCTTCCAATTCCATCTCCCCTTTGATTCCCCTTACCTTTCTATCTTCTCTTCTTTTTCCTCCCTCGTCACTACTCGTGAACTCGGACAACGATGAACAAGATGAACTCTCTGTTTCAGACTCGGTATCACTATCACCACCTTTTGACACATCACACTTTCCTGTGTTTTTATTCTCACTTGTCACATTTCTTTCATCATCCCTACTAATATTTTCAACTTCATCATTCTCCCTAACTATATCACTACCACTACCATTTATACTAACTTTACCCATCTTCTCTATAACCCCCATTTTACTGTTTTCAAGATTCAAATAACTCAATTTTTCACAACCCTCTACATCCCCTTCCTTTTCAACTTCAATTTTCTCATAAATCCCACTAATACCCACATCACCATCTCTCTCAACAGCTTCAAAAACTTCAACTTTCTTACGAATTCCAGCAATACCCACCTCATTATCCCTGTCAACAGTGTCAAAAAAGTCAGCTTTCTCACAATTTCCACCAATACCCACCTTATTATCCCTTACAACGGCGCCAAAAACATTAATTTTCTCAGGAATTCCACCAATACTCACCTCATCATTTCTGTTAAAAACTTCAACTTTCTCACAAATCCCACCAATACCCACCTCATTTTCTCTATCAGCGGCGTCAAAAACCTCAATCTTTTCACAAATTTCACTAATACCCACCTCATTACATCCATTAACAGTGCCAAAAACAGCTTCTTCATTACAAACCTCAAATGGGTCTTGTTTCACATCAGCCATACAATCTACTGTGGGGCTCTCAGCAAGAAAATCCTTTAAGGAATCAAAATCAAGAAACGAATCAGCAAAAGAGCAAGAGAACTCGTCTAGGTCAGGGGTAAATATGTCAAATGGGTTAGTTTCTTGCTTAAGCTCTGAAGAGGTTTGATTCTTGATGTCTTGTTCAAGCTCATTATTACTACCTATTATGGGATCATTATGCAAAAAACCCATGTTTAAGGAATATAATTAGGGTTCTTAAAAGAGATTTCATAATAGTTTTAAGAGAGAAAATGTGGGTTTATATATACGGATACGTAGAGTAACGTACGGATTTTGAACTGAGGCATTGCTCGCGGCAAAAGCCTGTTCTTAAACCCTAGGGTTTAAGGATTCAGAATATTTTAGAAGGCTAAAAGTTTCTTTCTGAAAAATAAAAGAAGAAAAGGCCACAATATAACCAGAATGGACTCTGCCTAGGTACATAGGGCTTGGGCTTATAAGCTCTTTAGTCAACAACATAAAAGACGCCTAGTTTTGATTAAAAAAAACAAATGGAAAAATAAAATTATATAGTCGCTTTTAAATTAATAGTAAAAGTATATTTTTTGTATATCATATATATATATATATATNCAAGTCAAGACTCAACTACATCCTAACCTACAATTCTAATACTCGACCTCCACATCTTCTTATCAAGTGTCATGTCCTCGAAAATCTGAAGCCTCGCCATATTTTGTCTGATCATCTCTCCCCAATACTTCTTAGGCCGCCCTCTACCTCTTCTCGTGCCCTCCACAACCAACCGCTCACAACTCCGTACCGGAGCATCTGGGCTTCTCTTTTGAACATGTCCGAACCATCTAAGTCTCGCTTCTCGCATCTTGTCATCAATGGGAGTCACATGCACCTTCTCCCGAATAACATCATTCCTAGTCTTATCTATCCGAGTGTACCCGCACATCCACCTCAACATCCTCATTTCTGCTACTTTCATCTTCTGGATATGTGAGTTCTTAACGGGCCAACACTCAGCCCCATACAACATAGTCGGTCTAACCACCTCTTTATAGAACTTACCTTTGAGTATTGGTGGCACTCTCTTGTCACACAGGACCCCAGATGCTAACCTCCACTTCATCCATCCTACCCCAATACGGTGTGTGACATCCTCGTCGATCTCCCCTCCCCCTGGATAACCGAACCAAGGTACTTGAAGCTGCCTCTACTCGGGATGACCTGTGATTCAAGCCTCACATCCACGCCCACTTCCCCTGGCTTAGCGCTGAATTTACACTCCAGGTATTCCGTCTTCATCTTGCTCAGCTTGAAACCCTTAGACTCAAGAGCCTGTCTCCAAATATGAAGCATGAAATCTCCGTCAAATATTTGAAAAACTTTTATTATTGTTATATTTAACGGGATTTATGAAAGAATAAGGAGTAGTATTTTATTGACGCAATTACGTCATTCATAATGTCTCTTTAGTTGTTTCTTTTGTTTAAAGTTGATAATATAATACTTAGTTTGTATGAACATTACTAGTTGAATATATAGTACTAGCATGATTGATTTTTCTGTTGGGAGAACAAACAGAAATCTATTACTTTTCCTTGGCAGCATAATAAAAAAATATTTTTTCAAAATAAAAATATCCTTACAAAAAAATTCATATTTTCTAAAGTGTATTCGTTAAATTAACATATGTGCCGCTCAACTAGAAATACAATTGCATAAGACGTATAATTTTCCCAACCTAACCACCATTAACACATACTTAATAATTTATTTTAATATATTTAAATCATCATATAATGAGTAAGTAATTATATAAGATGTCTAATATTATTACTTACCTATATTAATATTGATTAAAAATTTAATGTGTTTTGTGATTTTTATATTTTAAGTAAATTAAATTGAAAAGCTTAATATTAGTCTTTCGTGGTAATAAATTTGAATCATTTTATCTATTTCGTTTAACTAAATCCTACTCATAGCATGTTAAGGAAAGGAAACGTGGGGCGAAAGCTAGAAAGGAAACAAAAGTTTTAAGAAACAAGAATTTTAGGAAACAAAATGTTCCCAAATCCTATTCCCTATCAAATTCGGTAAAACTTCATTTGTCCTATAAATACGATAGATACTATCATTACATTCCAACTTTCTAAAATTCCTTGTATTTTTTCTTAAAAACCTAACAAAACTTTAGAATTTTTTTCCCAAGAAATATGTCTCAAGATCACCAACGTCCCTACTTCGCTACTCGTACATTACCAAATGATGTTTTTCACTTGCAAAGAATGAACCAACAACAGCCTGATATTCCACATGATCAAACAAGTGTAATATCTTATAATGATACTAACATGTTTGAATGTTGGGAAATAACAATTTACTGTGATCCTGCTATGGATATAGATGATGGCGAGGAACGAGCTGGTTGTTTCATCTGCTGCTTTGAATTTCAGAATGGAGATACATTAGTCACACTTCCATGTGGAGATGTGTTTCATTTACATTGCTTCTATGAGCGGCTGAGGAGAAGGAGGAACGATTGTCCGTTTTGTAATGCTGAAGTTTTGCCCACACACGAAGAAATAGAAGAAGAAGAAGAGGAAGAGGAGTTCGAGGATGAAGAAATAGTAGTAGAAGAAGAAGAAGAAGAGAAGTTTGAGGTTGAAACAAGAACTTATTATGCTTCTGTAATGGATATAGATGATGAGGAGGAACAAGAAACATGTGCCATATGTTTATGTGAGTATCAAGATGAAGATACCATTGGCAAACTTCAATGTGGCCATGAGTTTCATGTTGGCTGCGTCAACAAGTGGCTGCAGCAAAAGAATGCATGTCCGTTTTGTAGAGCTCTAGTTTTGCCCACACATGACTGGTTACATTCTTAATCTTGGCTGTAACATTCTTTTTTGTAATTGTCATTGCAGTGACCTATAAATTTTTTAGTCTTTTCCTTGTTCTTTTTGGCCATGTAATGTGTTCATACATCTACTTATAACACAAATAGAGTTGCCGTGGGTACTGACACCATGTGAATATGTTTTATATCGGTGTTACATAAAGTAAAAACATTAATTTTGACTTGGTATTTTTCTCTTCTTGCAGTCTTACTCGGAATAAAGAAGATATTTAAACTATGGCAGTTCTGCAATTCGAATTTTGACCTTTAAACAATTAATTTGTTATGTTTAAAACATGTTCTTATTAGAGGCTTTTGGATGTCTTTTGTTTTAAGTGTACAATTAACTACGTATACCTAGGCGTGGTAGATGGTATCCGATAAATTGGCACATGTGTAAGGTTAAATTTGCAAAGTTATTCAACATTTGATGGTAATATAGAGATGATTTAAATATAATATACTTTTTATGTAAAAGAATCAAAATCCCACATTTTGATTAATTCAATATTAAATGTACTTAGTGAACTTTTATAAAGACAAAATCCTGTTTTACTTTGTGTGACACAATTTTTTATTAATCTATTCCAAAAAAAATGAAACATTTTTATAGTTTATTAATGAGAAGCCATATAAATATTATGATATGCTTAAAACTATAAGTTTTAAAAATCTTATAGTCTTATACATGTAACCGCCCAACCCGCTAATGATATTGTCCGCTCTGGACCTAGGCCCTCACGGGTTTAAAACGCGTCAGGGCCTAGGCCCAAAGCGGACAATATCACTAGCGGACTGAGCTGTTTTGTGTCAGTTTTGCCAATGGTGGGTTAGAGTTCAACTGAGTTTAGGCAAATCCCGGACTTTAGACATAGTCTCACATCGGCAAAACACAAGAGGGATGTTGGGTATATAAGTTAACAAGCCTAAGACCCTAGTGACTCATTTTAAACTCGTGAAGGTCTATGCCCGGAACGGACAATATCACTAGCAGATCATTAATTTTTAAAGTTTTTCTATCTTTCTTAAATTTCAACAGAGTCAAACCAGGGGCGGCCCGAACCAATTTCATGGCCTAAAGCCAAACTTTATGAGGGACCTTACCTTTTTTATTAATAAAAAATATTTTATTTTTATTTGAAGTCTATTTTTCTAACTTTTTTTAGATGCAAAGTTATTATTAGTTTTTTATAATCAATTTCTCTAATAAGTCTTTCTCAATTGACAATATAGCTAATTCATTTAATATCTTTGAGACATTGTTGATCTTAGGTAAGGTTTTATCAATTTTAATTTTGAAACACTTTTTTCTGCTGAAGCAACGGTAATAGGAGTTATTAACATTATTCTATAAGTAATATGGACATTTGAAAAATAATCAAACCTTTTTATTTGATTGAGTATATCAATTAAATTGTTATCTTCTAATTGTATTATTTTCCTTAATATTTTTGATTCGGAAAATAAATCTAAACTATTAATATCGGGTTGATTATTATGATTTAACGAGCATTCAAGATGGAAGCAATATTTTTTTAAATTTCCATCAACTAGTGATCTCAGTTTTTACCGCTAAATAGAAAATCAAAAATATTTTCACATGCCTCTAATTGTTCAAATCTATTTTAAAATAAAAAAATAACCTTGTCTACTACTCTCTCTGGTCCATAATAAGTGATTTTTTTGACTTTTATTTTGGTCCAAAATAAGTGTCCTTTTATATAATCGAGAGGGAATTAACTTTATTTTTCTAAAATTTGCCCTTATTTACATATCTCAATGTGTCAAGTTAACAACATATAAATTTTAATTAAGGATAATTCAGTCAAAATATATTTTTGTTCTAGGAGTGAGTATTTTCTTAAGGGGCACATCAAAAGTTAAAAAATTATTTATTATGGACCAGAGGGAGTATGTATAAAAAGTAATCAACTCTAAAGGACACTCCGAGAGATTTTGAGATTTCACTATTAACATTCTCCTCAAATTGTTTCTTCCTATATATTACACATTTCTTATAAAATTCGGGTATGCAATTTCCTTGGCAGAAATCAAAACAATTGCAAATCCTATCTCTTTATTTGTTAAATAAAGAAATCAAACTTTTTCATAACTTTATTTAAAAAAAAATGGGCATCCTCCAATCGGAGCCTAAAGCAGCTGCATCCCCTAGTCAAACTATGACAAGCAAAACTTAAAAAGAGAGGAGTAATAATTAAGGTCTAATATTTGAAACGGGAATACCATGATTAGCTAATGGAATGAAAAACTCAGCAACAATTTTGGGGAGTGAAATTTTAATGTGGGGCAGGAAAATGATAGATGAATCTTCTCAGTTATATATGAAGATGACTTAAGCGTCAACGCGTAGCTGGCCTTGACTTTCATTACCTCATTGAATTACAGGGCATTTATCTTCATATACATTCACACTCTTCTTAACATATTGTCATATTGATATTTTTGCCTCAATAAACTCAGTCTGAATCAAAGTCTTCCCAAATTTGTCACTTCAGGTTAGTAGCTATATATACAATATATCTCAGTATATTTTCATTCCTGCTGAAAGTTGCATATCTTTTATGTTAATAATCACTTTCTAATTTTTCACAAAAGAAGATAAGGAGCCCCTCTACCTTCCAACTGACTTCAAGAATACTCATACTAAAGTAAGTGGTTAGTGGGGTTTGGACATAAGAATTATAAAATTTCAGAAAAAAATGAATGTATTTGAAAATTAGAGTTGTGTGAAAATTTTGAAAAATTATTTTTTGGAGTTTTTTCCGAAAAAATTTGAAATTAACTTTAAGTGAAATTTGATTCCAAACACTATTGCCAAACACGGATTCCAAAAAAAGTGAAAATTTTCCGAGAAAAAGGTGATTTTATTTTTATGGCCAAATGAAATTCACTCTTACCTCAAATACAGTCCATCTTATGAATGTTAAGTTGATGGGTACTTGCTGTTTGTCAACATGAATATCTGCTACTTTTGCTGTGACCAAAGGCGGATCCAGGTTTTAACTTGATGGCTTGATCTTTATGGTTTTACCATTGAACCCATTGCGCTTATAGAGTTATGAATCTTTTACATATATGTCTATGTTCTGTATTATAATTAGTGGGTTCGGTTGAACATCTAACTTGTTACCTACATCCGTCACTGGCTGTGGTAAATTCTGAATTGACGTTGGATAGTGAGTAAAATTAGTTCTTGAGGAAACAACCAGGAAAGGCGAAAGACTTTGGCTATTATATACACTGATGGTGTGAAGAATGTTTATACCATTTGTGTAGTTATACTAGTTCCAATAGGTTGCCTGCTCCCATTTCTTTTTCTGCATTACCCAACTATACTCAGTATAGAGAGTTACCTCTGCAATTGACTTTTAAGTAACTTTTATTTTCATTTTCAGTGGATAGAAATTAAACTTAACAGGAAATGTTAAACTTGGCAGTCAATTTGATGGTTTTAGCATAGACGGTTACTTATCTGGTTTGCAGCTTAAACCTTATAAGTTGTGATTTTAGAGTGTCAGAGTCTCACATTAGTTGAGGATTTAAGTTGTATTATCTTTATATATTCTTGAACTATTCTAACCCCATGAGCTAGCTTTTGGGGCTGAGGATTGTTCAAGACCGTATAGAGAGAATACAAATCATACCCTCAACCAATGTGGGGCCTTGTTCTCCGATGGTTTTAGAACCAGACCCGTCGCTGATGTTGGGTTATCCATTATTAGACTTCAATGTTATGTTATCCACATTTCAAATATGTAAATGTGGGCGTGCTGGGAAAGGGTTTTGGGGGGAAGGTGGGAGAGCTAGACAGGGCAGAGCATGCGAGATATGGGTTCAGCCAAACTTAGTAGATTTCGTCCAAACCTTGTATTTGTCTTAGGAAATTCATTAACTATGTACAAATTATTAGTTTAGAACCTGATAACTTAAAACAAACTACAATCCCCAACCCATAAACTTCAAATCCTAGCTCTGCCTCTGGTGCTAGAGTCGGACTTTAGTTGAGGGTATGAGCCCTAGTCTCTTGGTCCTTAACATTCTTAACTTCACAATATAGCTTTAGGCTTGGGTTAGGTTCAATGTCTTTTTCTTAGCAGTCCACTTACATGAGCCACCTCATAGTTGGTTTTGTTTCTCTTTATCTTTGCCTTCTGTTGTTTTGCAGACATACCGGCCATGGAAATTGTTGGTGCAGTGTTAAGCATGATGCAATGTTTTTGTGGAGAGACCTGCTTGCATCAATCCGTTTCCGAAAAATGTACATATCTGAGAAAACCTCATGCATTAGCAAATAACCTTGATAAAAAGATGGAATTGCTTAAAGCTCGGGAGGAGGATGTTAAGAGGAAGTTGCAAGTGGAAAAAGTATGGCGCGGAATGGAGCCAAAGGCTGAGGTAAATATGTGGCTTACTAATGTAGGAAAGATCAAAAGTGCTGTAACTCGCTTGCAAGAAGAAATTACTAAAAACAAGCGATGTTTAAACGGATGTTGTCCAAATTATATGTCTCGATTAAAGGTAGGGAAACACTTTGATAAGAAAATTAAAGAAGTCGACAGGCTCTTGGCGCAGAGCATATATCCAGATGCTTCATTGGTTGATATGATGCCTCAGAGAGGAAAGATATTACCAGAAACTTCATTAGTGGGAGAAACTGCTCAAAGAAGTTTGGAATTAGTATGGAAGTATTTGAATGATGGACACACTGGGATAATTGGTATTTATGGAATGGGGGGAGTGGGTAAGACATCCATACTGGTAGCAATCAATAATCGACTTTTGAGAGAGAGCGCAGTTTTTGATAATGTCATTTGGGTCACGGCATCCAAGGATTCAAATGTCCAAAAGTTACAAAAGGATATTGCTAGAGCTGTAGGTTTATCTTTCGATGATGAAGACGATGAAATGGAAAGAGCAGCTCAATTACTTGAAGCATTGATGCGAAGAAGAAGATTTCTTTTAATTATAGATGATTTATGGGAAGCATTTTCTTTGGAGGTCGTAGGAATTCCATCCCCGGGTTATGGACATGACTGCAAGTTGATAATAACTACTAGATCTATGATGGTTTGTCGTGGCATGGAAACAATGAGAGACGTCGAAGTTAGTGTTCTTTCTAAGGAAGAAGCATGGGACCTCTTTAAACAAAAGGTCGGTGATGAGGTGCTAGCATCTCCAAGATTACAAGCTGTTTCCAAGGATGTCGCGATGGAGTGTGGAGGTCTTCCACTAGCTCTTGTAACAGTTGGTCGGGCTTTAAGAAGAGAAAATGATACGAGGCAATGGGAAAACGCATTAAGCCAGCTGAAAAATGCAATGGGAAGAATAGAAGGAATGGAGAATCGAGTCTTCACACGTCTGAGATTTAGCTATGAAAGACTGAAGGACAATGTGACTCGGTCATGTTTTCTTTATTGTGCATTGTACCCAGAGGATCATCATATTGAGACTGAAGAATTGATTAAATACTGGATATGGGAAGGCATGTTGGATAATCTCGGGTATGGAGAATCCAAGATGCTGCAGGGAAAGATGATATTAGACGAACTGAAAAACGCATGCCTATTAGAGATTGGCTGTCAAGAAGGTAGTTTGAATGAATATGTCAAAATGCATGACCTCATTAGGGATATGGCAATAGCTGTTACAAGAGTGAATCCACTGTTTATGATCCGAGCAGGAAGTGGAATTCGTGTTCCACCAGTTGAGAACGAATGGCTCGTAGGCCTTGAAAGAATCTCGTTAATGAGAAATGATTTGGGCTCTTTGAGTTTTGAACCGAGATGTCCTCAGCTAACTACATTGCTTTTGCAGTATAATTCATTGTCCAAGGGCATACTTCCTTCTTTCTTTAACCATCTAGGAAGTCTCAAAGTTCTGGACTTATCTTACACAGGCATCACTAGGTTGCCCGATTCACTTTCTAATCTGGAAAACCTCCACGCTCTGCTACTACGCAGTTGTTGGAACTTGCGTTCCGTTCCAACAATGGAAAGGCTCAAGGAGCTGAGGATTTTGGATCTCTCTTCTACATCAATCGAGTGTACGCCACAGGGAATGGAAATGTTACTCAATCTGAAGCATCTGGATCTCTCCTATACTACTGTTGATGGATTTAATATTCGACTTTTAGGAACATACAGGTTTTTGGAAGACCTCTTAACTATTGGTTTATGGCAACCTCTAATGTTCGGTTTGGATTTTGTTAATGTTGTGGCAAGCTGCACCAGCTTGGCAAACCTTGAAGCCAATTTCAGCACCTTGCACGACTTCAATCGTTATGTCTTGTCGGGTCACTGGAGCACGCTTGAGAGTTTCAAATTTTGCATAGGCTATCCGCAGTCCTCTAAATTACCTGGGAAAAATAGTGTAGGGTTCTTCGGGATTCACATCGTTGAAAGGGAAGCCCCTTCTTGGTTGCCAACGATACTTGAGTTGGCCGTTCATGAATGCTCTGGCATCACTCACTTACCAATGTTTATTATGAACGCCTCTTCCCACCTAAAACATTGCAAAATAAAGTATTGTGACGAGATGGAATGGATTATAACTTCAGAGTGGGGCACATTTCCCGATTTAGAGTTGCTAGAGATCGAGGGTCTGAGCAGACTGCAAAATATATGCAAGGGGATTCCACCAGCGGGCACTCTTTCAACACTTAAAGTGTTGAATGTTATTGCTTGTGATAATCTCACGAGTCTGCTGCCACTTGAGTTAGTGCGGCAACTCAACAACCTTGAAGAGATTGAATTGCGAAGTTGTCCAATGCTGGAGGAGATAGTTACAGAAGCAGAAAGTGAAGAGGTCATTCAAGAGAACGACAGTGAATTGGTCCTCCCAAGTTTGCAAAAATTGAGATTAGTTTCTATACCAAGACTGAGAAGCATATGCAGAGGCCCGATGATTTGTGATTCCTTAACAACTATTGAAGTCATAGATTGCCCGGAGCTGGAAATAATTCCCTTCTTTCTAGAAATAAGGCAGCAATTAGTTGACTCTCTCAAACAGATAAAAGGAAGCAGAAGGTGGTGGTGGACATTAGAGCAGAACCACCCTATTGCCATGTCTCTCCTTGCTCCACTCTTTAAACCTGAATCTGCTCCTAATGAAGGCATTAGGGTTGATTCCAACACCATAAACAGTTATGGTGGCAGCTCGGGGAGTTCTTCTTTTGGGCCGCGATAATATTCTTACTGTAAGTAATAAGCTTGTGCTCTCTTAAAGACTTTCTCTTAGGGATTCTGAAATGTTATTTAATCAGCATTGACTTGAAGTCAAAAGTTTTTAATTTTGTGAATCATGTTTCTTATTCAACACTATAAGAGAATGGATATAGTGCGTTGAGTGAGTAGGCCAAATATCTGAAAAATGGTTTATGCATAATGGCTATTTCTGGCAGGAACTGAAGAAACACAAAAAATGAATTGTAATGGAAAGACTTATGCCTTATTTTCTTTGCAGTTTTATCCCGACTTATTTCCTACTACGCTATAATGGTCTTGAGTTTGGGACTTCGATAAAAGCTGACTTTTTTCTTTCTCACAATTATGCATTTCTTTCTTCTATTTTATTAATAAAGAACAGTGCTTTTGCCTATATCATATCGAACTTTATCGCCTTGTTTAACATTTTGGTTGTTTTGGAGTCGTCGTCTTCATTTGCATTTGGTATGAAAATGAAGAGGGGATTATTAGGTGAGTTTTTTTCTTATTAACTGACACAGAAACCCAAGATTTCAAGAAGTGACTTTCCATTATTTTGGCTGCATGCACAGTATATACTGATGAATCAGTTCAAATTAGCAGAGATTATTTTCATGCATCTTTCAATTATCATTTCAGGAGAAAAATCAGTAAAATACCCTTTCTCTTAGTCCAGATCTTGCCAGTGTCTCAACATGGTTCTGGACACGATCAGCTCAAAGTTTGGCTCCAGCAGAGTGCAATCTATCTCGGCTGAGTCCTCCTCACCATGCAACAGGGCTAGAGAGGAAAGTGTTAAATATAGTAGGCGTGAGAGGAAAATGTTAAATATAGTAGGCGTGAGAGGAAAATGTTAAATATAGTAGGCGTGAGAGAGTGAGGCTCTGCCTATAAAAGGAGAGCTTCGGCTCTCATCTCTACACACCAACAAAGAGAGAAAGAAAGAGTGAGGCATCACATACAGGGTATAAGAGAAAGAAAGAGTGAGGCATCACAGACAGGGTATAAGAAAATAGTCCGTGAGAAAAATAGAGAGTGAACGATATTGTAGTGAGGTGGGAATATCAAAAGAATGTTATTTCTTTTGAGTGTTGCAGTGGTCTTTGAAGTATTTTACTCAGACCTACAAAGTGTAAAATTCCTTGCTATAGTGATATCAGTTTCTCGTCTCGGGGCCGTAGTTTTTTCCCTTATTCAAAAGGGTTTTCCACGTAAAAATCTTGGTGTCGTTGTCACTCTTTTATTCTTATTAATTACCGTATCTCGATGCTACGTTATTATTCCACTTTTATTACCGTGAATATTATTTCTGTAGGGGGTTTATTCCCAATAATCCAGGAGCGCGGAGCCAATGAAATCCATAAAGTTCCTAATTTAGAAGACGCGATGTAGTAGAATTCCTAATTTGAACCCATAAAGTTCAAATCCTGGATCCGCCTCTGACGTGGTCGGGTTGACCCTATCCTGCGCACTGGATGCCCCTGAAGTTGGGGCAGTAATAGCCCAGCTCCCGCCTGATGGTGCCCAGAGCTTTCCCGTTTGGGCGATCAGCAGCAGCATACAGATAAAAGGATACTGTTTTCATTTGCACTGTTAATGTGAATGTGCTGATCATTTGTTAAAGTCAAGGCCATTTTCAAGTGGCAAAATTTGTACTGACATTGAATCAGGTAAATATCTAGCTCCAACTTCTTTAGCGAGAGCTTGTTTGTCGCATGATTCAAATATGTAGACTTTGCAACATAGCAACAATTGTACTTGTCCTTGCACAGTCGAAAGACGAAGATTCTAACATATATTCAAGCTAATGTTGAGTTTTATGGCTTTTTTACATGCCATGCCTTTTTCCATAATAACATGCAAAATAGCAGGCCTATTTATAGTTTTAACTTCTAAACTTTCTTCAATTTGCTGTCACTTTAAATGATAATCTCGTTCGATATATTTCTTTTATGTCTAATTTATCGTCATCAAAGTTCTTTTTGTTAGATTCCGCATGATGCCTTGTTAGTTCGATCCCAATACAAGTACTAAACTTCACGATGCTTTTGTTAATATAGAAGCGATAAATGTATAAGAGAGAAGCACAGATCTATTAATTTATTCAAAAGCTTATTAGTAGTGACTTAAGACGAGAGAAGCACAAAGTGTCAAACTTATGGTGTTCTTTTTTCTCCTTGATTCAGATGTCTCTTCATTTTCACTTTTGACATTTTTTTCGCTCAGAAGAAGTTTTACGTAATCAACTAAATATTTTCGATCGAAATGTGAATTTAATATATCAAGTTAGTGTAAAATATACATCATAAGTTTAAAGTTTTCTTTTCATCCTCAACGCATTACAAGTTTACTTACAGATGAAAATTGCACAATAAGGAATTAATTTTATTATTGAAAAACAGAATAGTAATATATAGCTTCACGCAAGTATACGCGGTCGTCAAGTAATAAAGAGACTAAAAGTCGGATGTCGAACCCACGAGGACTTATGATTGACTATTAACTAAATTAGACTATCCTAATTATCTAAACAAGAATTAAACCTCAAAATATTTTATTCTAAACTAATTAAATAAAAAAATANACTTAACATAGACATGGTAGCCAAACAACAAATCATACAAAGAAACATAAAAATTACTAAGTTTGGTGGGAGAAAGAAGAAACTTGATGAATTCCGGCCTCCACAGCTTTGTGGCTTTTTTTTCCTCTTCCCAATATGTTAGATGCCCTAAAAGAGGCGTTTTTAGCTTATATA